TTATCAGCCGGAGCATGAACAGTGTTTGAGAGAAGAAATAAAGTGAACCCACGTGCTCTTTGTATCCGGACTTCCGGGTTGAAAACAGCGTCCAGGAGTTCCCGTTGTCGCTTATTCTCCTCTTTTGAACGAGAGAGTTCCTCCTCGTACTCTGCTATCGTTCTTTCAAACAGACCAAATATCTCTTCATCAGCCGCAGTTAGTCGCTGTTTGACTAAACATCTCAGCATTTCTAGTTTAGACATTTTCACTAAACCACAGAAAGTTTTCCTCCAGACGAACTCCGTTAAAAACACCGTTTACTCTCATTAAGCTCTGACTAGCGCTGTGTTGGTCACTTCCGTCCCCGTCCGTCTGTTTCCAGGTAGCATGCTAAGCTAACTTCAATAGCTTTATAAGCTACCATGAGATGGGTCCTCTTCTTCTTCCTCTCCTCTTTCTTCTTCTTCTTCTTCTTTCAGTTTAATGGCGGACTACAAACCAACGTTTAAGGCGCCACCTATTGGACCGGAGTGTGTAACATCATGACTTTATGACAGTTATCATTTAAACACAATAATAATGTTATTTATAAATAAAATGAAAAAAATAAAAATAAACTTCATATAGAAGTTATATTCTGGATATTGAACCCGTTCCATTCAAAATATGAAATAAAGCCCTTTTAAGCTGAACTTGTTTGTCCCCTGTCTCTAACAGTCCTTTGATGCTCCACTCCCTTCCTGTATCTACCACTCTGTTCTTCAGTCTTTCTCTTTCCACCCTGAACTTCCTCCACTCTATCAGCACATGTTCAACAGTTTCTTTACAGTTGCATATCTCACATTTATCCCACTCTGTCTTTTTCATGATGTGTATAACGTGTTATTGAGTCCTGTATGTCTGAACCTTAATCTGAAAGTAACATCTTTTCTACTTTTACTTCCATCACTTCTCAGTCTGACTGATGTTTGAATTTTGTTGTAATTTCTACCCTCATTGTCATTCCAAATTTCCTGCCAAGATATAATAATTCCGTGCTGTATTACTGATTTTGCTTCTGACCTCCCAAAACAAATTTCTAAAATATCATTTTTGTTTGATGCTCTTTTCTCAAGTTTATCTGCAACCTCATTTCCCTCTATTCCAACATGAGCCAGTGCCCAACAGAGATGTACATCTATTCCTAAATGTTGTGAGTTCAGTAATGATGTATAAACTTCAGTTAAAAGATCCTCTCATACTGTTTGACTGGATTGTATACTTTGTATTGCAGCTGCAGAATGTGAACACATAACTACTTTCATTGGTTTGACCTCCTCCACCCACTGAAGACTGATGATTACTGCTGTCAGTTCGGCTGTGTACACTGATAACCTGTTTGAAGTGCTTTTAACAATTCCTTTGTTGAATTCTGGAATGTACAGTATATGCCCACTCCTACATGATTAGTATCTGAGTGTTTAGATCCATCTGTAATAATATTTATATAATTAGAATAACTTTTATTCAGTAAATCTTGAACCAAGTATCCGATGTTTACATTCCTCTCAGTCCATTCTCTTCTCTTTTCTAATATCTCTAGATTTACCTTGGGTTGTGGAAATATCCATGGAGCAATGTTGCTATCTGCTGGACTATGTTGTATGGTATCTAATTTGAACTGTTTCACTTTCCTGTTAACGTCCCATCCAAAGCTTTTACCAGAGAATGTCGAGTACTCCCAACCATTGTACAGGACAGTCAATGCTGTATTTCCATTAAGTCCACCCTGAATTCTAATCCAGTGTGATAATGCTAACTCAGTTCTCCTCACATGTAATGGCAGTTCCCTGGATTCCACCAGCAATGCATTAATGGGTGTGGTTTTGACTCGGGAGACGAGTCAGAGGAGAACCATCCAGAAAAAAAGGTGAACAGATAAAAGTCCATTCAGACAGGTTCTACGAGGAACATCCAGTTCCGCTGCAACTTGGTGGGTAACAAAATAAAAGCCCATAAACTAATAAAATAGTATATCATTACTCCTATCTTCAGTTACCTTCCATCTGGTCCATATGTAACAGTTGTGGGTCATGGAACGAGACGACTCAAGTGATTGTTTTCCAACATTTATTTATTGAAGACAATATATCACCAATGAATTGCTTTCTGATCGTTTTCTGCCCCTCTGCTCCCTCAGCAACGTGTGATTTAATTCCTTTTCTTCAAATACACACTGACCAATCAGAGCTCGGTACGTGGACCGTTAATGAATATTACATAATCACACAGTTTAAACTGACAAATGCAAAAAAAGACAGCTGGCAATAAATCTCAGACTGTGTGAATTAGTAAATTAACAGATTCATGACATCACTGCTTCATTTAGAGCACGATAGATCTGACTATAAGTACATGTGTGTATTATGGTAAATTAATGTGTTGCAGATGTGTTCTTATGGTGTGTATGACAATATTTTAGCCTTATTCATTCAGCTGTAGCCTTAGTGGTGCGAAACAGACTTGGGAGTAAATAGAAAAGAAATGTGTAAATATTCTCTCATCACACATTCACTGACGTGTGTCGGCTTCTTGAGTCGTGTCTTACAGTCTCCGGCTACTTTAATGTTTGGTGTGGGTGATTTTAAGTTATGGAAGGAAACTTCCTTACTGCTTAGAATTATATTTATATACATTTTTATTTATTTGCCCAAAAGTCTGTTTCACATCACTGGGGTCTCAGCTGAAAGAATAAGAATAAATCAAAGTAAAACATTAACGTGAATACACGTGTTATTATAGTCAGATCTATCGTGTTATAGATGAAGCAGTGATATTATAAATAGGTTCATTTACAGAATGATACAGTGAGTGATTTCTTGCCAGCTGTCCTTCCTGCATTTGTCAGTTTAAACTGTGTTACTTTCAGCCTGAATTATGTTCATGTTCTTGATGTTGGTCTCAAAGTGCACCAGACTGATGCATTTAACTTTAAAATGTACAACATTTTCGTCCAGGTGAGTGTGCTGTTGTAGAATATTTCTAGGTTAATCGGGAGAAGAGAGTTTTTGTTCACAAATCAATGATGAAGTCATCAGAAGATTCAAAGTTGTCTTTTTCCGTTTATTCTCTTGCAAGAGGGAAGAAAGCACAACAGCTACGTATTCAGTAGACTGTGTGAAACCTTCGACAAAGTGCAACATTCAACATCATTTATGCATACCAAAGGTTCACGCCTTTACGCCTTCAGATGAATCATAAACAGGGGAGGATAGGAGTTCAGACACAGGCTGTTTTCTGCCAGGACATTCAGTTCCGGTTTCAAGGTTCTGTCTCAATCTTTGTCTTACAGACAAAGACAACAGTGTCTCTTCACTTCTCATCCTCGTGGGAGCGTGCAATCAGCTAAGAGATACCAGGACACCTGGATTCAAAACTAATTAAAATCTTCTGCAGGACTGCTGTTTTGTGTCTGTCTGTGTTCATCACTTTCAGTGGTAGATCTTTTAAAACATCACATGATACTATAACATATTTTCCCATTACAGTGCCCCGGCCCCCTCTAGAAAACCAACACTAACTAGAAAATAGAAACTCAATTAGTCTATTGGATCAAGCTAAAGACAGTACCAACTCTGAGCGTGGACTCAATGAGCGATGCTCTCATGTTGAAAGAACACGCTCTTGGATAAAGATAGGATGAAAGCTCCATCGTTCCTCCCCTGTGTGATGTGCCATGTGGTGTGTCAAATGTATTTTTTACATTTTGTATAAAACCGTTATCACAAACAGAACCACTATGTCTCTTATATGATTAACAGTGCCATTGATGAATAAATAATTCCTTCATCTGATGAGTGTACTTCCAATAATACATTAATCCAGGTATACAGCTGTTTTCACAATAACCGTATAACCTGTAACCAAGACTGTGATGGCGTCTGTGCAAATTTACAATATGTCATTTCACATTTGATAAAGAGTCTCTCCAGTGTCATAAAAACAGTTCACATTCTTTTCAAAAGACTCCATCCTTCTGAGCATGTGCGCCCCTGAGTCAGGGTATCCCAGTTCTTCCACAGACACTAATCCACGTAGTGCACCTGCGCCTGGAGCTCCTTGGAGATGTAGCCGAGAAGGGTCGCTGTCAGCTGCTGCTTCAGGGTGGCGTTGCCCATCACTAGAGCAGTTAGCTGAGCCAAATCTGTCCACTGAATGTCTCCCAGCACAGCCAGAAGACTACCATAAAGCTTCTGCTGCTGCTGAGGACTGAGCTCCATTATGATCTGAGGCAGCGGTTTGAACTGTCCACTGGTCAGCCAGCAGCCCAGAAGGCCTCCGACAGCACCGCCTACATGGGTAAGAGGGTTTCAAACATGTGGAATTATGATTGCACACACAAACACACACACACACACACACGAGTGGGAGAAACTGTTGCATGCATTTATTCCCACTTACCGACTGCGATACCAAGAGGTCCCCCGACTAACCCTCCAGCGAAGGCCAGACCGCCCGCTGCTGCTGCTCCCTTCCCTGAGCCTTTCACTGTGGTCTGGATTTGCTGATTGGCAGATAACTCACAACACAGCTTCATGACATCATCAAGTCGATGGCACATACTGTGGATCAGATTTATACATTTAAGGAGACATGACAGAAATTATAACTGAAAGACACTCAGCAATCAATAAGCATAGTATAAGAAAGCAGGAAAATACTGTCAGTTTGTTCAAATACAATATTAACTCAGCTATTCACCAATCAACAATGTACAATATACTATAATATCACATCAGACACTGACACACATTGTCCTGCATGTATTGAATAGTGTGACACAGTGATTTTCTAATGCAATCATCTACAGATACCAGAGTGATAGCTGTGATTGCATCAGAAAGCATCATAAGCCAAAGGTTGACATCTGTAGCGCCAATCAACAAAATAAAAGCCCTCCGGTAAAGCGTATCGTATAGTAACCACAGTAAACATTAACTGCTCGTGCCTTTTAAAAACTGTACCCTGTACGTATTTATGCTGAGCTTTCACACGCCAATACAGGTGAAAGGTCTTCTTGTGTTACATAATACGCGTATTACTGGTTATTGTGCAGAAGAAAAAAAACTCATCTACAGATATTTATGATTATTCTATTATTATTATTATTCTATTATTATTATTATTAGTCGGTTAACCGGCTGATAGAAACATTGTCACGTGATCGACAGAAAAAAAACAAAAATTCACTTCATCAGATGTGAATATGTGCTGGTTTTCAGTGATGGCAACCTGAATATCTCCGGGTTGGACTGAAATAAGCAATTGTTAGTATCAGCTATACTTTTAAAAACTGTACCCTGTAGGTATTTATGTTTAGATTTCACACGCCAATACAGGTGAAAGGTCTTCTTGTGTTACATAATACGTGTATTACTGGTTATTGTGAGAAAAAAAACTCATCTACAGATTTTTCTAGGTAGGGCCATCCTATCAATTTCAGCAAACATCCCAGTATGATTTAATGCAAAAAAAATTTAAGTATCAAACACGCATACTACTTTGCAGTTAAATATTTAACATTTATTCCAACATGAAAAAAAGCAGTAAATAACACTTATATAATATAATATAATATAATATAACATGTTTATTTATTGAGATGCCCATATGGACCTTGTTATAGGAGGTAAAGATCAGAAGTAAACATGAAGTGTAATTATGAATACTGATGTTAAATTAAGCTATGATGAGTTTTCACTGTTAATTTACCATCTCAATTAAATGTTGATGCCTCCATGACCAAGTTAAGCAGATGAGACTGAGGACAACTATGTAGAACAGAGGTAGCCAACACGGTGCCCGCGGAAAAAAATAGCACTAGTCACCATCGAGCTCCATCTAAAATTGTAGTGTCTGTTCTTTTTTAATCAAAAACGCTTGCATTAGTGTAGATTTGAAAATGACAATATTTCTTGTCATAAGAGAGTTGGGTACCCAGAGGCGCACGGCAGACAGCCAGGACGAGACTGCTGCACGGCACTAGGTTTTCAGGTTCCGAAAGGCGGGCGCTTCCCGTTGGCGCCAGACATGCGCCGCGAGCGCACCCCGTCGTCCGGTCCGTAAATCCTCGGAACAGGCCGCGGGGCAACAACTCAGGGGTTGGGGGGGGGGAGGGGCGAGGCAACGCAATCCGACCGAAAAGGCCCAGACTAGAGGTTTGAACGCGGGCCCCCAAAGACGCTCGCGCGCCTCGGAGGGTTGGATCCCCCCCTCGGCTATAGCCGAGACTGTTTACTAGATTCTTCGTGGAGAAAAAGGTACCATTGGAAAAGCTGGTGTCGGTGACAACAGACGGAGCTCCCGCGATGACGGGCCGGCATGCAGGCTTCATTGCGCAATGTAAAGGTGACCCAGACTTCGCAAAATGTCTACATTACCACTGCATCATTCACCAGCAGGCGCTATGTGCAAAAGTAACCGGCTTTGATGTGATGATACAAAAATATCAGAGATGTGATACCTCTGACTTTCAAATGTTGAAACAGATTAACCGAAATAAAAGCTGCATGTTTAAATATGTATGTGTAGCTATACCATCATTGTTGTGGAAATCATTATTAATAATTATTGTGAGGAATAATTAACTGACATGTGATCAAACAGTCTCTTCACATATATTATTATTATTAAAGTGATCTGTGCAACTTTGTTATTCAGGAAGTTTGTATCAAACAAGTAGCCCTTCGTACTACTCGGTACCCTTGAAGTAGCTCTCAGTTTCAAAAAGGTTGGTGACCCCTGATGTAGAAGAAAAGATGTTCACTTTGCCTAATATGTAGCTTGACAGAGTTCTCCATGTGTGCCCTGGTGTTCTCATGTTTCCTTACTTCCTCATCCCTCACTCCCGTAACTGTCCGTGCTGGATCTGTCCCCGTTGTTTTAAAAAGCTAAATAAGTTATTAGCATGACGTCATCCAGCTAGCCAAACCTGTCTGGTGTACAGCTAGTACAGAAGCTTCACATGTACTGCTTCCCTTTCCCGCTAGTCTGCTGTCTGATTGTGAGGTCAGGCTGATCTGGGATCAGCTCTTTGGCCTGCAGAATCTCCGCCAAAGTTCTCCTCTCAAACGAGACTTGGAGTAGTGCTCGCGCTGGCATTCGCGCTCGCCTGTAGAGACTTCTCCTGACGAGAACGCGCAGCTAGGGGGGCCAAATCGTTTTGGCCCCACGCTGAATCTATTTGAGGGCGCTGATTGGCTAAATTGTATGTCACTCATTTATATATTTAAACAAGCAATTGGCTAAACTGCTTCATAGACCCGCCTCTTTTGGGCCAAAACGATTTAGCCCCCCTAGCTGCTCGTTCTGAGACGTGTCGTGCACACAGGCGGAGAGGACGAGCAGGAAAAGCATATATTTTGCGCAGATATCATATTTTACACATATTACTGGGTACATTCCATAGTTCAAAAACATAAATATCGACAATTTGTATAATTTATGATTATTATAATTTTAATTTTTTTTTGTGTGGCTCAAGGTGGGGCCAGGCCCCATTGCCCTCTATTGGCCAGCCGCCACTGGTTGTTATGATTATTCATTTCGGGTTTTACTGCCTCCAATTTAACAATTTTTTAATATTAGTCGGTTAACCGACTGATAGCAACATTGTCACGTGATCGACAGAAAAAAACCAAAAATTCACTGGTTCCAGCTCATCAGATGTGAATATCTGCTGGTTTTCAGTGATGGCAACCTGAATATCTCCAGGTTGGACTGAAATAAACAATTGTTAGTATCAGCTATACTGACAGTATCATGATTTCACTAACAAGGACCACGCCAATAATAGTATGAGTTTCAAGAGGTTTATTGCATAGTGGAATGATTGTTAGATTCAAGAAGCGGAAGGGGTCAAGGGATGAATAGATATAGGGTAGGGGTAGAGGGATGAAGGGATGTAGGGTAGAGGCATGATGGAATGTGGGGTAGGGATGAAGAGATGAAGGGATGTAGGGTAGGGTCGAGGTAGAACAATGAAGAAATGAAGGGTTATAAGGAAGAAGAAACGAGGAGGGTTTGTAGAAAGGAGGTTAGGCGATCGATGGGGGACCGTTGATGTCCAGCGGCTGGCGGGAACGGGGGGAATGGAGACTGTAGGGTGGGGCCCGTCTCTTCGGAAGCTCTGGCGGTGCAGAGTCACCTATTCCTGTAATCCTGCAAGAGAGAGAGACAATAGAAGGACAAAATGGGGTTGGGGGGGAGGGATGTGAAGACAGAGTCGGAGAGGAAGTGAACAGGTTTGTTGTGCTTAAATACTCTGTGCAGAGGAAATGAGCTGTGTTCTGGGCTGTGTCCTGAACTAAGTTTATAAAACTTAATTTCACTAACAAGGACCACGACAATAACAGTATGAGTTTCGAGAGCTTTATTGCATAGTGGAATGATTGTTAGATTCAAGAAGCAGAAGGGGTCGAGGGATGAATAGATATAGGGTAGGGGTAGAGGGATGTTGGGTAGGGGTAGGGGAAGAAGGGGAGAAGGGTAGTGGGATGATGGTATTTGGGGTAGGGATGAAGAGATGAAGGGATGTAGGGTAGGGTTGAGGTAGAGGGATGAAGAAATGAAGGGTTGTAAGGAAGACAAAACAAGGAGGGTTTGTAGAAAGGAGGTTAGGCGATCAATGGGGGACCGTTGATATCCGGCGGCTGGCAGGAACAGGGGGAATGGAGACTGTAGGGTGGGGGCCGTCTCTTCGGAAGCTCTGGCGGTGCAGAGTCCCCAAAAGATAGCTCCATAAAGACAGATGCCAATGGGCATTTCTGGTGTCGTTCCGATTGGAACGAACTTATGAGAGGTACGCGGGGGAAGACCAACAACCAAGTATCTTGAGGATGTGGTCGGAAATTCCTTGGCTTGAAGCGGTGGAGGCGGCGCCGAGTAAACCCGGGGGGTATTCTGGATCAGGCCAAGATATGGTGAAAGTGGTGGTGAGCCCGAGACCGCAACAGGGAATCTTGCGGGGGAGTTCGGCTGGCTGAACTTGAGCTTAAGTAGTCGCGGATGGGTTCGTACGGGCTTGAGTACGAGTCTGGTCGGAAATGGTAGATGGGTTGAGGTGGACCGTATTGGTTGATCTTGCGGCATTTGAGGTGATAGACGACTGTGTCGGGAGGATGGATGTGATGTCTAACGCGGTGGCGTTTCGGGACGGATGATGGTTGGAGTTCAAGGCGGTGAACTCGGAGCAGCGAAAGAAGCTGGCAAGAACGTGGACTTTAATGCTTTGTCCATGAAGGGAGACAGATGACCTGGGCTGAGGATGCCGCAGGTGAGGAGGTCTGAAGTGAGGGGCAGCCGTTTAGGCGTAGTTTGGCTTTACATACCTTTTAGTAGCATGGCGACATGTGAGTGGGTAAGCTGGGCACGGAGCCCCTGAGGACAGTTTGTGTAGAAGTTAATTCCGCTTATGTAACCCTGTATGGTGGAGGACTTGACCTGAAGGAGGGAAATGGATAAGTGACTGAAGTTTGTGGGGGTGAGGATCTCGAGTGACAGCAATGGAAGGCTGAAGGAGTCGTGGAAATTTCGTAGCGGTTCCGTCCGGTGAGGTACGATGAGTGCTTGGGGGGCAACGTTGTTGAGGATGCCATCTGAGCTATATTCTGAGTGGATGGCAATGGTCTTTAATGGACCGTTAACGCCCCAAAATAATGGCTACTATGAGTATGGTTTCGTAGATCGTGGAGGAAGGTGTGGGGGTTGAGAATTCAAGCGGCCAAGGACAGATTGTCACTGTAGAAGCCGTCGAAGCTGATCGAGGGTGCTGCATCTGTGAAAAGCTGGATGTCTGCCGGTTTGGTGATGTGTTTGTCGTGGAAGAAGGAGATGCCGTTCCTGGAGGACAGGAACTGGTGTCAGTTTAGCTCGGTTTACGTGCTTCGTCAAGTGTGACGTGGTCATGGAGGTTTGTTACGGCGGCGGCGACTAATGGGATGTGTGACAAGGAGGATTTTGTTTAATCTATTGATTCTATTTATTTATTTTATCTGGTGGAGGAAAGCCGAGTGTTTAGACTGTGTGCTGGGATTGAAGAAGGTAGCATGACGGTGAGGAAGTCATCTAGGTCGGTGATTTTCACCACTGAGCCGTAGCCCGCCGGTGTGCTGTGAGAGATCGTCAGGTAGGCCGTGGGAAAAATATCCGGATTCGCTTAAATCGGTCCAGAAATAATATATATTAATTGGTTGCTTCGAATAATTTGCCATGGTTGAGCGTCTGGGCCTGCAACATAGTAGTTGGCTACGTAATTAAATACTCTTATGTGCCAGTGAGTGGCAGTTGGTAGCACAATAATGACTGTGGTGATTAAGACAGTAGAATTAAGTGATGCACCGAGAGGTTGCGGTGACTCAGGTAAGCAAATTTTCTGGCTGCTCTTGGACGGACGCATGGTGAAGTAATACGCGTCCTTCCGAAGGAAAACGAAAAGGTACCGGTAGTCGGGTTCGGTGGTAAGGACTGGTGATGTCTGCATTAGGTGACCGGCATCTTCGCCTGCGAGGCGGATGGGGAACGTGGTGTGATCGATTCTTATGTACTTTGTGGAGTAGTCCAGGCTGGGAATTAGGTGGAGCCTGGTGATGTCTGCGCAGGTGGGGAGTGGCTGTTTGAGTGCAGCGGCCGAGCTTGGTTAGCAATTCCCAGGAGATGTGGGGATTGCGTGTGGATGGCTCGATAATTGGGCGAGGTCCATGTAGTTACCGGTGATCGATAGCCTGTGTTGTGTTGAACGGAAAGGTAGGAGCAAGGGAAGAGGAAAAGATGCTGGGATGAAGGGATGCATGTGCGTGGGTTGGAAGTGCAGATTGGGGAAAAGTAAGAGGATAAGTAAGAGGACGCTGGAATTGTCTGCTGGCGGAGCTGTGGAAATGAAGAGGCGCGTTTAAGATGGGATGGCAATGCTAGTGGGGGTAGGGGTGGAGGAAGAGAGGGGGCGGGGCGGCATAGGTAGGAAGAAACAACTGTTGCGTCCCTGGCAAGAAAACCAACCTCGAGCTGCAGCTGGGGTAGCCGGTAGAGGTGGGAGGAGTTAGCCGAAGTTGACCGAGGTGGGTGGAACATGGAAGATAGAAGTAACAGAACATGAAAGGATGCCAGGATGGAGGGATGGATGTGCCTGGGTTAATCGTGAAGTTAGGGGGAAAAACATTGCGAGGAGATGTCTCTGGCGCGGGGGGAGCTTGACAGCCACAGTCAGTATGGCATGGCACAACTTAAGGCAGGACGCAGTCCACTGCTCTTCTCTAAACACATTTAAGTCGAGGCCAACAGCAGACTGGAAGCAACAGCCTAACTTACGCTACTACACCTTCTCCTACTGAAAGCCATATCTCTGACTCCCGCATGCAGTTTGACATTTATATAATCGTGGCTCGTCTTGAAGAGGATCGATTCATAGCCTTGGTACCGGTCTCATTACCCTAATCGGGTAATCGCCGTATTAAGCTCAGGTTAAAGATTCACGATCAGAGTATACGACCTGGCCCTCTGGAGGGACTGATGTAGATGGATGGGCTTCTTCCGCCGTGTGATGCGTCATGACGTCATCGGCGCGCGCCTGATGTGGTACCGGGAACCCGGAAATGCTCTGGAGGAAAAAAGGAGGGAGCTTCGGGATATGGCTGGTCGTCCGGAAGGGTTGAGGAGAGCCTTTGTGAAAGGTAAGCGGTTTTAAGATGTTGCTTGTCTGTCGTACGTCGTGTAGGAGCTGAGTCGAAGTTTGTTTGTTTGTCTGTCGTGCCTCGTGTTTGTAGCGTATGAAAGCTGAGTCAGAGAGCGTTGCTCGTCTGTCTTGCGTCGTATGAAAGCTTGAAGCTGAGTCAGAGAGCTTTGCTCGTAGGGGTCGAGGGGATGTGGGGTAGGGATGGAGCGTTGCTCGTCTGCTCAGTCAGAGAGCGTCTGTCGTATGTCATGTGAAGACAGAGTCGAAGAGGAAGTGAACAGGTTCGTTGTGCTTAAATACTCTGTGCAGAGGAAATGAGCTGTGTTTTGGGTGTGGCCCTGTTCCAGGACTAAGTTTATAAAACTCAATTTGTAGATCTAGACCTGATCAGATCTGATGTGCTGTATTGTACTTGGGGGAAGCAATCACGATTGACGAGACAATTTAAAAAAAGGTCACTCTGGTTTCATATCTATAACGACTAATGCTTAGGGATACAATATATTAATCAGTATACATTTAATCCCAAATGTTTCTTTTATAAATGTCCTTATCATTCAAATCATGATCAATTCATCTAGTCATTATTATATCTACTAGTAATTGAGCCTTAAATATGAGGACACAGTGTGACAGAGAAGCATTACTTTAAATGTTGTTTTTATGAGATACCAAATATTTTACAATTTGCCCATTAACTGCACGTGCCTTTTAAAAACTGCATCTTGTGTTTCTTCTCCAGCTCCTGGGGGGATCCGCCTTGGCCATACAGATATCAAGATTCCTGACTTTACAGACTACCGTTGCCCCGAGGTTACGGACCCCAACAAGTCCTCCCAGGAGAGCAGCGAGGCGAGAAGGTCCTTCTCTTACCTCGTCACTGGAGCGACCACTGTGGTTGGTGTGTATGCCGCCAAGACAGTGGTCACCCAATTTGTCTCCTCAATGAGCGCATCAGCAGATGTCCTGGCCTTATCCAAGATTGAGATCAAGCTCACTGACATCCCTGAAGGCAAAAACATGACCTTCAAGTGGAGAGGAAAGCCTCTGTTTGTCCGTCACCGCACAGAGAAGGAAATCGCAGCAGAGGAGGGTGTGAATCTGGCGGAGCTCCGTGACCCCCAGCATGACAAGGATAGAGTGATTAACCCCCGCTGGGTCATCGTCCTCGGTGTGTGCACCCATCTGGGTTGTGTGCCCATCGCCAACGCCGGAGACTTCGGAGGCTACTACTGTCCGTGCCATGGCTCCCACTACGATGCTTCAGGACGGATAAGAAAGGGACCTGCTCCTCTAAACCTGGAGGTTCCCTTCTATGAGTTCACTGAGGAGGACGTAGTCATAGTGGGATAAATACTGGAGCTGTCTCCGTTCCTCCCTGTAATATGTATTTTTTTAGATGGCTCCGTGTGAGAGTGACATAAAACGTGTGTATTTACTATTAAAGACATATTTCCAACTCTATGTTTGAGCTATTGTCTTTTCCCTCGTAAAAAAGTGAGTTTTTCTTTGATTGTTCTTCATCACTTAGTGAATCAAAAGACATCAAGCTGACATTTTATTTTTTGTTTTAATCTCTATAGATTTCTTTCATTCCGCACTATTTTTAGTATTTTCCAAACAGCATTATGTAACACAATGAATGAGGGCCGGGTGTGATCAGGTCCAACCCCTTTGCTGCCGCACCAATCCTGATATATTGTGTTGGAGCTGTGTGATAAAGTCAAAGGTGGGGCCTGTTACATGGTTACCTAAAGTTGAGCTGGTAAAAGTGCTCATACACATGAACAAGAGGCCTGGGGAGCACAATGATTAGGATAAGATGATGGTATGACCAAGAAAAGCCACCGGCAATCTAAAAAAGTATCGACAAGTTGTGAACACATTCAGGAATGTGTCGGCCTGTTAAACAACTGGAAGGAACTATAGATCGAGATAAGGATGTTGTTGGTTTGTGACTCCAAAGAATGTGTAGATTGCTTTTTCTAAGGACATTTTTTTATCCTTTTTATGAGTTTGTATCAGACAAGATGAGAATTTTATACCAGTAATGGCAGCAGCAAAGAGTGCAAACTGCCAAGTAAGACAAAGAACTATTGAGTCACACTCCACGTCACAGATAGATTTAATCCTGATGAACAAAGTGTGCTATGTAAAACTGTATGAAACAGTGAAATACACAAACCTTTTACTTTTTATTGATGAAATCATTTAAATACAATATACTGTGCACAGATGCAGGTAAAACCATCGTCTTAAACTTACATTACCATCAAATCAATCATCAATATAATCATCAAAACTATTTCAAACTGTGCAGTTGGCGCTCATTCAGTGAATACATTTTGTATTGAAAATATTGAAATCAGTGTAGTTGAAACGCAGTTAATCATGTGTAACTTCAGAGGTGACTCGTGCTGAAAGCTTTTATCACAAACGGAAACTTTACTGCAACCAGAACAGCTAAAGGGGATTGTTTCCTGTGTGGGTTTTCATGTGTGCCTTTAGATCTCTGTTGC